TAAAATAAATATTACAAGAAGAGAGAATTAATACATACCAAACATTTGCAGATAAATGGCTAAAATGATAATATAATGATTTTTTGTGTAAGAAACAATTGTACTTGAAAAATTTAAAAAATAAACAAAACTCTAGTTTTATAAGTAGGCCTATGCACAAAGGTTAATGATCTGTAACCTTGCCAGGAGAAGTGTGTTTGTTTAAATTTAAAAAAAAAAAAAAGACATATATCTAACATAACGTTTATTTAAAAAAGAAAAAGTGATCTTGACCTTTCAATGTTTCTACAGAATCTCCCAAGTTTGAGGTTCAGAAAAGGCTACAACAAAACCAAAGCAAAATAATGCTTCGTTGGTTTGTAGTTCAAATTTGGGGTGGATTTGTGAGTGAAATGTTAAACGTGTGCCTTTTAAAAGTTGTAGAAGTACTGTTACTGCTCTTTTCTCAATAGACTCCTCTCTCGAAAGCCTTTTGAAGAACATCGCCACTGGACTGTAATCACAGCACTCTGGAAGGCTGAGTCAAGAGCATTACCAGCTCAAGCTCAACAAGAGCCATGCAGTGCCTTAGTGTGATCCCACTTCAAAACTGAAAACAGAAACAACAATGGTAGGGGTATACTCAGTGAGAAAGTCCTGGGTTCAGTCTCTGGTACTGAAATAGGAAAGTTGCCTCTTTTCAGCTTGATCCATTGATTCAGTGACATCGTAAACAGTATCTCAGCAAGGCACTTGTGAACACTGACAAAGTGATGGTGTAGTTGATGTAATAACACACAGAGTAACAACGCAAGCCTTAGGGTACTCACCGTCAAGGTTTGCTATAATACTGCAGTGATCAAGGCGACAGCTGTGTCAAAGAAAGAAAACATGTCAGTGGGCACAAAGGAGGGCTTGGAAATAGATTTCACTTAGCATTGTCAATTAATTTTGATAAAAAGACAAATGCAATACAATAGTGTAATCTGTCTTTTTAGTAAGTTCGTACACAGGGTTATTCACATACTTAGAAATAAATCACACGTACAGAACATATATGCTCAACCAGATAACTCAAAATAGATTATTTAAAAGACAAAACAATAAAAAGCATTAAATACAACAGGAGAATACCTGTATTACCTTTGGTATAGTAATTAATTTTTAGATGTAACACAAAAGAACATAAACCATGCAAGAAATAATGGTAAATCATACTTATTAAAGTTCCCCATTTTGAAATTAAAGAGATAATGTAAAGATAGGCAGAAAGTATTTGAAAAATACCTATGTGTTGAAGGACTGCTATAGAAAATACAAAGTTTAAAACTGAGGGTATAACTCAGGGGTAAAGCATTTGCATACTATGCCAAGAACCTAGAAAAATCTCCACCGCTGAACAAAACAGTTCAAATAAACTCAACCAGAAAAATTAGGCAACTTAATTAAAAGTTGCTCACAGACATCTTTAACCTGATGTACACATTCCACAGCACTAGTGTGCATTGCAGTGTCCCATCACACCACTGGCATGTATATTTTTATACCTTTATATATTAATTACAGTGAATTTCACTTAAAATGTACTACATAGTCTTGATATGTATGATGCTATAGCATATGAAGTTATATTCAAATATTTCAAAGAAAAAGACACTATGGTAACTACTATTAAGTCGGGTTATTTGATGGTGAAGCACTAGGTTGCTGAAAGTGTCATGCTTTAACCTCTATTGTTATGTTGTTATGCCCCCTTTTATCTCATCCTCTCCCTTATTCATTAAATGATTATTTAATTTTTAAAAAAAAATATCAACCAATAAAAAATGCTGCTGGATCTGTAGGGAAAAAGAAACCCTTTACAACTGTTGGTTAGAGAGTAGGCTAGTACAAACACTGTGGAAATCAGTGTGGAGATTCCTCAAAAAATTAGCATTAGGGGTCCCATTCAACCCAGGTATTCCCCTTCTGTGTATCTTTCCAGAATGAAAGATCACACTACATCACACTACAATGACATATGTGAAACCATAAGGTTCAAAATATACAATAGTCACTGTGAAATGGGAGGAAACTGTTCAATAAAAAGAAGAAACTAAGATAGAGGAAAAGAGAAAGGATAGAAGGGAAAAGAAAAAAATGCAAGTTAGTTATACGATTAGTGTCACTTAGTTCACTGAATAGGAAAGTTCGTGCTAACATTGATTGAAGAAAAATTTTATGCCCATATTTTGTACTTGAGTGACTAAAGATAATGATGTGTAATTTATCAACAATTGTTACTTTTTCATTATTTTGTTGTGAAAATTTGTTTTACCTTTTCTTCTTAACATTAACAAATAAAGTAAAAAGAAAAAAAGAAAAAAATATACTAAACAAATGTTTTAAAACATGGGCATGGGATCTGAATATACCACTCAACAAAGTGGATACACTCATGGGAAATAAGCACATAAACATGTTTAATGCCATAAGTCACTAAGAAATGGAATCTCAAGGCAGAGAGGTAGAAATTGGTCAGGAAAACACGAGGTCCCAGCTGTCACAGAGCCACTCCTTAGGACTGGCTATAGGTTCGGGAAATTACAGCAGGTGACACCAGATGTCTAGTTTCAGTGGCCTGGATCCATCCGGTTTCCGTCTGCTCCTCCAGCCACACATCTGACTATTTCTCTTTACCTTACACTTAGACGAGCTGAAGTAAAGAACATTCAAATCTATTAACTACTTTGAAAATAAAGCATGCCACTGCATGCATACTTAACCTATGAGCTCTGGCAGTAGCCAGTGAATGTATAAAACCTCTGAAAAGCAGTTCAATTTTCTCACCTATTATTGAATTACACAGCTACTGTTCTTCTAACTGACCTCACAAGCATTCAACCTAAATACAAACTCTATCAGTTCTGTCTATATCTGTTCATAGCACTACTTCAGTTAGCAACTAGCGCTTTTGACTTGTCTGATTTTTACACGGAGGGTGTTTTATGGATTTGAACTGTCAGAGGAGCCACCTGAACAATTGAAGCTCTTGGAGGATTGTGTGATAAATGGTGTCAAAATTCTACAGAGGGAAGTCTTAAAGGCTTCCAACTACTGGTATTTTGCATGAAAATTAGAAATATAAAATAGTTGTGATTTAAAATTGCTGCTTGTAAAACATACTTCAAAAATTATCCCTTATAGACAGCTAACATGCATTTTATATTAACACAGTTGTTGAAAATTATTTATTGGTGCATATATATTGGATAAACATAAAATATACATTAGTGCAGATGTGCCTATGTGTTTATATATTATGTATAATTAATGTATAAAGATGCTAAAGGCTAAATATTGAACTTGATTACTTTAGAAAACCCAGAAAAGAAAGAGCAACTTCTCAGTGTATGTATGCACCATAGAACACTCTTAGCAGTCATCAAATTAAGACAATAATAATAATTAATTTGTACAATAAAAACATTCAGAGAGCCCAGTAGTAATAATTGATGTGATATGAGTGTCTGAATGAACATGTAATTCTCCATCTCTTTTGCCCTCAAGAGCATCTTAAAATTACTCAAGTGAAGTCTGAGTCCAAGACTCTAAGGACATGTAAATGCAAGAATTTATAGTCTAACTTTGATGGAAGTAATGGGTCAGTGCGCATTTGAGAGAAAAGCATAAAAACGCAGTGAGATTGAGGGGCTTTATTTTTCATTCAGTGGCATTTATCTGAGTGCTTATAAAGTGAGCAGTGAGAGACTGTCTCACAGCAAGGAAGCGTCCACAGTCCAAGGCCCTCAGAAGTAGGAAATCAAGTTCCCTCCTAGAAACTTGGCCTCTGAAGTTGTACTACAGCCCTAGGGAGGTGGGGGTTTCCCACTACACATTGACCTTTGCTCCCAAGTTATGTGTAATTTTACATCGCTGTGCATACATTATGAATACACATGTAAAAAATAAAAAGACAGCAGATCCAAGCAGGACTCTTCTCAGTGACGAACAAGTGCCAATCTAAACTCTCCTGCTCAACTAGAAAAAGTAAGTTTTCATCCATAGAGATTTAGTATATCTGCTGCCGAAGAGAGTGCAACTTATCGAGATTTAAAAATAAAATTTAGGGAAGGAACAGCAAGAAAGTCATTGAGGCCATTCACTTTGCTTTGAGAGCTGATAAGGGAAACTGGAACAATTCAGTTTGCCTCAGGAACTGCAGCAAGGTAAGAACACATCTAACCCCAGTCTTAAACAAAACCCAGCAGCACGAGGGCATATTTGTAAACTATAAACTACAAATGATCCAGGTGGGTTGGAGTATTGGATAGAGAGTAAGGAGAGGGTGCAAAGAGTCTGACAAAGTTGCCTGATCAAATGGCTAATGCGCCCCCATTACAAGTTTTAGGAGCTTATACTTTGTTCTCTGATAAAATTTAACTAGAAGACTTCGACCTGGTTTCCAATTGCAAACAGGAACCTAGGAAGACAGAGAGGAAAAGGGCTGGGCTGAGAAGGCCAGAGTATGGCTTGGAAGTGAGAAAAGAGGTAAAGGAATGGAACTGACCAGAATTGAAAGGATTCGGGTAGAAGATGAGAAAGAATAAAGAGACAGAGCTGAGTTCAAAATTCTAGGATTTGTGGGTAAAGTGACTCACCAAACTAGTTAACATAGATTTAGGAATAAACAAAAACAACAAGGAATGTATTATGTGGAGTCAAAATGCTGACTGATGTATGCATTAAATTTCTATCCACTAATTGTTGAATGATTACTTCTTATAGAGCATGGTATGGAGACGAAAATGCCAAGGTAGAAGTTGTCCCCACTCAAGGTGTCATTGATCAGCAGTTTGTCATTTGTGATTCCCTTTGCCATGGGCTGCTGCATTGCTAACACATTTAGACAACCCCAGCTAATAGGACCGTGATGAAAGTGTATCACAAATGAAAAAGCTGTTTATCTGATCACACTTGGAATGGGAAGAACTTCCACCTTGGCTTCTGTCATCTCTACAGGGCCATCTACATGGAGAAGAAATCTTTGAACAATTAGTGGATGGAACTTTAAGGCAGACACGGTGAAACATTTTCTCCTCTGGGCCTAATCACTGTGGGGTGACCCCCAAGTTGACCCTTAATAGACAGAAGCAGGCATCTGCTGTTTGAAGACTGGAGAAGGATGACCAATTCTCCATGGGGAGAATATCTAAAATGACCCAAACTGCCCACATCTTCTGGTGGTCCGGAGCATGGGTAACCTTCTTGCCTGTGTTACGACTCAGCCCAGTGAGTCTTGGTGAGTAGCTGAGGCAGAGGTGACAGGCTGCCCCAGCTCCCCTGTCCACTGACCTTGCTCAGAGGGAAGGTGGCTGTCACATCACCATATTCGCTCTGCTCAACAGCTGCAGGGACTCTGAGGACCACGTAGAGGGAATATGAATGAGCTTAGAGATGGGTGGACCTTCTCCCTGAGTCTGTGATGGCTATGTTCCTGGCTAACCATTTAATTGTGAGCGCCTGCAAAACCCAACCTCAGAAGTCCATTACTGATTTTCTCATGCACCAAGACTATAATAACTGCTCATTGCTTTAACAACTGTGTCTTCAGGGACTTGGGAACGTAGAAATAAATTAGTAACATATTAATTGAAATATAGAAGGAGTAATAGCTCTGCATGTATAGAATCCAGGTGGGGTTTGATACCCTAATACTTTCCTTGTGTCCTACAGTAAAACTTTCTTACTGCAGGTAGAACCATAACTACTCTACTAATGACTTATATTCCAAAGTCTAAATACAGCTTCTTTTCAGTTTTCAATCAATTGTTCAATAATTGAGGAGTGCAGGATTTGGTCTCAGTAGGATATAGATGTTACAAATGTAATTTTTTTTAAAATTGAACTCAGGACCTCACACTTGCTAGGCAGGTACTGGCCACTGACCTATACCCCTAGCCCCTGAAGAGGTAATAATTGTCAGGTTAAAATGTACCTGAAACTTTGAAACATTTCTTCCTCCCTTGGGACCATGGTGAACTCAAAAGTCACATATTTGTACTCATATATAGTATTTTATAGTAGATATATATATATATATATATATATATATATAGACTTTTTAATAAGTAGATTAAAAATATGATGATCACCATGATCCAGGGACTGAAGTGGTTTCATCCTGAGCATTAATAAAATTCAACTTTTTGAGATGTAAGAAACAGAATCCATAGTAACAAGTTGTTAGGGTCTATAGCTAGATGGTCTCCTGAGGTCTCATGTTCTCATAGGCTGGGATTGAGCGAAGTCACCGGATCCTGGGTGCATGATACTCATCAGTGAATGAGTCTGCTGAAGAGTTTACAGCTACAAGTGGTGTTGGGAGATGAAGCCTGGCTGGAGGAGGCGGTCACTGGTCGTGTGACCTGGAAGGGTCTGTTTTTCTCCCTGTCCCTTGACCACTCTCTGCTTCCTGTTGTGGTACCTTGAGTGCTTTCCCTTCTGCTGTCCCCCTTTGTATGCTGCCAAACCTTGGAGCCAGTTGAGTATGGACTGAAACTGCTACCAACTATAAGCCAAGTTAAACCTTTCCTCCTCAGAGCTGTGGGGGCCAGGTAATGTGTCTCAGTGATGAGAAAAGAGTAAAGATCTAATGATACTGTGCTTTGTCCGAATTCTTTGGATTAAATAATGATACTCGTGGTTCAGGAAGTTACAGAGCACTGAAGAGTTTGGACTTAAACACCTCATCTATATAATCAAACATTAAAATCTACTTCCCAAACAAGGAGCCACTTTGCTGCACAATCGCTGAGAATAGAATTCTAGAGGGAAATCAGAGGGAAAAATTGTCCCCTTAATGAGGGCTTTGATCACTTGTGTAAAAACTCAAATGACTTAAAACACTTTGCATTTGATAGAGCTGCAAACCTCTAACCAATACCTACTGGATGTGAATAGTAAGCTTGGTGTGTTGCATTGGAGAGGGAGAGGGAGGAGGGAAAGGGAAGTGGGTGAGGAAAGTGAGAGAGGCAAGTGGGAGAGGAAGAGGGAAATGGGAAGAGAGAGAGAGGGAGTGGGAGAGAAAGAGACAGAGACAGAGAGAGAGAATGTAGAATGCTGCAGGAATTTATTGATGGTATTTTTTCCTCTCTTCCAACATTCACACTCAAGTCAAGAGAAAAACTCACAGCAAGCTTAGCCAGAATCCTTCACAATTGAAAGACCACAGGTGTGGTATATGATTCACACCTGCAGGTGGTTAAGTATCTGCAGGTGGGCAAGAGATTGATCACCTGTAGTTCCTGTGGGAGCAGCATTCAGAGAGCAGGGCGTGAAGAAAATTGGCTCCCACCCGGTCCTCAAGGGAGTTGAACAGGAAGTCATTTTGGAAAGGGCCACTGCGGAAGGCAGTCTTCTTTCCAGGCTAGTCAAACTCAGCTTAAGCAGCTAGAGATGTGCAATAGATTTCTAAGGTTTCCCCCAAAAGGAGCTGATCTGAAGAGACATTAAATGTCAACACATAGGACTCCTCATCTCTGAAATGAAATTTCATTCTTTACCTTTCTACTTGCCACCCCCCCCCAACCTCCAGCAATGTTTGGATTGAACCCAGGGCCCTAGTACTGAACTACCCTTTGTTTCTCAGCCATTTTTATCACTTTGTTTTGAGGGTCACACAGAGTTTCTAGGTTGCCCAAGCCAGGCTGAAATTTGCAAGCCCCTATTTCAGCCTTGCAAAGCGCTGAGCTCACAGGTGTGTGTGACCACTTCCGTCTCTGCAATGAAACTTTTGACATGGTAAATATTTATCATCTGAGATTGGCCAAAACCTCCCTATCTGAAGTATTATTATATTAATAAAAATCGATAATCTATAAATTTTGGTCTGATTACAAACTTATTCTCACAGAACTTGCTAAAATTGTTTGGCAGTGATGTAATGCTAAATCTTGACATTTTAGTCACTCTTGATGCCATTGCACTTAGGTGTGATATCTTAACCCTTTTAGCTGATGTAGATATGGTTAAGGTCAAGTAGATAATTTTAAAAAGCACCATGTGAAGCTGATTGAACTGGGTTTATTATAAGTAGGAGCCCTGACTGAAGTGGAAAATTCATGTACGGATTATTTCCTATGAATATTTGTTGATAGCTACAGACCGTCTGAAGACTAAAACATAAAAAGCTTCAGACTGCAGAGGGTCAATCTCTGACCTTTCTACACTAACATGGCTTGGAAGAATCAATATTTTTCATTTTCTCTATCTGAAAGGAAAGAGGAAATTAGTACCCAGAGACCTGTTGTCTGGAGCTGTTATTCTGGTTGCTTTCCCTCTGGTGCATTTGATATTAATAATTTAAAAAGCATACTCCAGATTTCAAGAAATATTTCTGTTTTAAAGGAAAATAAAACTATGGCAGTGATTAGATTTCTGGATGAAATAAGAACTCTCCTAAGGCTCTAGAACACAAAACATTTGTTTAACGATTGCACTAAGAAAACTTAGAAATATGTTCTTAAGTCGCTGCTGAATGTCAGATGGGTGTTATGTGAAAACTTATTTCTTCATATTTAGGAAAAACTGGAAATAACAAACAAATCTAAAAGTCTTTGGAAAGAGGGGTAGAGACAGAGGCAGAGAAAAATGCTTCCCACATTGTTTCCTTTCCAACATAAACACTGAGAGGATATTGATCCATGTGGAAAACTGATGATCTCAGATTCTAACTGCAAGTGCAGAAATACATATGTGAGATTTTTGTTTGTGCCTGGCGTAGCAAGTACTTCCTCTGTGTATCCTGATGGCAGAACATAAATTTTTATTATTATACACTACATGTTTTATACTTTGGGTATTTTTAAATGAATATATATATATATATATATATATATGTGTGTGTGTGTGTATATATATATATATATATATATATAATTTTAAAAAATAAATAAATTCAAGACCAATGGAACGAGGTAGATTTCAGAAAGACAAAAAATAATGAACCCATTACATTGAAGCCATCGTGATAATTGTATGCATAGATTGCAAGCTGTGTTGTGACCACAGTTCTCTACTTGTAAAAAATAAAATGTTTTAGCATAGTGATTATTTTCTGGGTTGAACAGAATGGTACACAAGCTTTCCTGACTTCATCTTACCTACTGCCCAAGAGGGCAACAGCACTTCAACAGGGCACCAAAGGATTCTCCTGGGACAAGTGACGTGAACAATAACAGGTGCTGTTCAATATCAAATAAATATCATACACTGCCACACCTGAGCCATGAAAGTGTCCCGTTAAGGTCACTTTCTGTAAAGAGCTGTATTTTTAGTATGTCAAAGCATCCTAAATTGTACATTCTCATAAGTCATGTGCTAACATTTAGAATTATTTAGCATACATTTGAGCACTATAACGTCAAACATAATCGGCTCCAAAAATATTTGAAGGAAATAAATCACATTAGTGAAAACCTAGTGATTACCATTCTGTCTCACTTTGCACTGGACTTCAAACAGGGCAGGTTCCTTTGCCATTATTTGCTACTCCTGTCAGTTATGATAGTAGGAGGAAAGAAGAAAAGTTAGGAATGGGAGGAATAAAAGAAAGAGGAAGAGAAAGAGGAAGGAAACTGAAAAAGAGGAAGAGAGAGACAGAGAGAAGAGACAGGGAAGGAATTAAGAAAAAGGGGAAAGAGGAAAAAAAATAAACCATCATTCAGTGAAACATGCCAGGCGTTAGATAAGGATCCTTGTAGAATTAATTTGTCCCACCCAAATCATAGCCCTTTGAGGACTGCATTACTTTCTGGAGACTCTAGGTGAGAGAAACCAGCATTCATAGACTCGGAGTAACTTGGTAAAGGTCACAAGTAATGTCCAGGAAAGCTGCACATAAGTCTGAGTTTTTCTGATTCCTGAGTGCCTCCCACCCTGTGACCTGTTCTTTTCCTCCCCCCCCCCTTTGTGCCCTCCTCCTGCCCGTCCCTAGGCTCAGGATGTCACCTGCCCGGGGAGACCCGGGTCACAGGGCTGAGTGCTGGGAAGTGACTGTCTGCTTCACAAATGCTCTGTGTGGCCATCTCACATAGACGGTAAAAAGGTTTCCTTGTAGTAGTTGCTGAACCATAAAATACCTGGGCATTGCTTTGCTCTTTAAATAAACATAGAAAAGACCCACTTTTTGAATTTGATTTTATAATTTTCCTTTCTACTAACAAATTTACACTGCTCTTGGAATTTTTAATCATCATTTGAAATTGCAGCATAAAACGAGAATAGGAACTAGTTAACTGTGTCATCTACATGAAAACTGTTCATTTCGCCTTTCTGGGTGTTAAGTTATAGAGAATCTTGAAGGAAACAGTTCTCTGAGTTCTATGCTTTTGCTTTAGTTCCTTCGTCACATGTGCAATAAACAGGGGAACTGGGGTGGCCACGCACACGTGCTTCCCATGGTTGCTTCCCTTCTGCAGAAGATCTATCTCCCTACTCCCTATTATCTATCTTTTATGTTGTTCTTTATCAATATTTCATTTTCCTCCTATAAGAGAAATAGTGTGATGTGTAAGCTCGTGTGTCTGATTTATTTCACTCAACACGATGGTCTCGGGGTGCATCCATTCTCCTACACAAAGTCATACAAAGTGGTGCAAACAATGAAGATAGACTAAGTACACAGGAAATAATTGCATGAGTGATTTAACAGAAATATGTATCCAGAGGTCTGTAGTTAAATACTAATTTGAAGAAGCCAATAAAACAGGGAAAACCAGGGCTCTACCAATAGCTCAGAGAAGTACAGAATGTGGACATCCTTGGTTTCAATCCCCAGCCAAGGAAAATAAACAAATAAAAGCACAAACACCTTAAAATACTTGACAAACTTTATGCAAGTGTTATTCTTTAAATATCAAACTGACAGGCATTGATGTGTAGGCTGAGTTAATTCAATTAAATGGCTATTTACTGATGAATGAAAGATACTTTTCATTGCATGTGTTAAAATGTCACCTTAACCTACCAGTCCTAGCTTATTATAATACTTACCAAAACTTATCCCAGAGAATGTAAATAAAATAACTGAGTGATGGCCCATTGGTTGCAACTGAAGTTAACAGAGTTTTTTGAAGGAAATAAAGTATACACTCAAGGAGATGGACACATATATACACACAAACAGAAAAAAAATTATTTTCCTTAATAAATGATTCAGTGATATTGACTTCTGGTTTATACTATTTTTTGATATAGTACCTGTCATAGTTGATGGTAATTCAAAAAAATGCATGTCTTCAGTATGGCATATTTATTTATTGAAATTTATAAACTACATATCTTATGGTTTTGCTTTTTTAAATAAAAATCTAAGATTTATCCCTACAATTATTTATTGAATAAAACTAAATCCACACTAGGATGTGTGAAAGTTTTTAGTTAATAATTTGGAGCCACACTTACAGTCCTAGTGCTGACGAGACTGGACTTGGCTGCTCTTTGGAGGTCCTGAGTTCAAGACCAGCCTGGGGCCGTACGTGTGAGCGAGCTTACCTCATCAAACAAACAAACAAAAAACCCAAGAGCAACCAAAAAGGCAAGTGTGAAACATAACTGATTTTTGCATGGTAATTTTTGTATTAGTTTAAAAAATGTATAAAA